ACACACACACACACACACACACACACATACACACACACACACACAGACGTTATCTGACATCTTCACTGCCAATCCTCTGAGTTGTGAAAACGTCATATCCGGTGTAGTCCAGCCACGTAGGACATAACTCAAACAACAGCTGTTCCCACACATAGCTACCCTCAAGATTACAAAGGCCTATCTGCGCGGTACCGAGTTTTGATAAATTTGACATTTACAGTTTTGAGCTTCACAATGTCAAGTTTTTTCTAATGTAATTCTTTGAATATTATCTGGATAGCTACTCCGAATAGTCTTACGATTTTGATAGAGCAGATGAAGCATTTAGCTTTTGACCTCATGGTCTTAGTAACTCAAAACAGCGAAACATGTCCGGCACAACTTTGTCATTCTAAGGCGCAGATTCCTAGCACAACGGCTTCTATTGTTCTCCTTATCCACAGCCCATTTCTAACACAAGTTGGCGTTATTTGAAGACGGTTCCGACGTAAATGGCTCATCAGTTGCATGCAGTTTGAGCCCCTGTTTGATTCAGTGAGATAAGATATTGTAACTGAATATTACTTGTTATACTAAGTAATATTGTAACTGATATTCAGTTCCCATTTCAGGCATATGCGTAAAAACACTAATTTGACAAATACTTGATTCTTTTGGCAGCACCCAGATTTTCTGTCACGGGCAGATAAAAGCTGCCATTTTATGACAATCCCAACCGGATGCCCCAAACGTCAAACATGTTTGATTTCAATGTTGTGATCGCGTGGTCAACACATTCGTTGACAGAATATTATTGTGCTTGCCATTGAGGTATTTCCCGAAGATTTCCTTTCTGATGATGCAAATCGGTTCCATGTGACAAACATACATCGTGGGTGGTTGACAGGTACTCTGGAGTGGTTTGCTCCTTCTTTCCTATCAAACATCTATCGTCCTGATCTCTCCTCCTCCTTTTTTTATGTCTGTTACTCTCTTGTAACTCCTCTAATCTTCGGTACTTATATGACCTTATTGTTTTGCAAGTGCCGTAAAACTCTTACTCTTACTAAAAACAAAAAACAAACATACATCCCTTGTTAAAAGAAGACTATGTTCTACTTTCAGCGTATGTCGATACATGGTATGGCTTATGTCTCTGTTTTGTTGGCAAGCCATTCAACTGCTCTAAGCCAAGAAAGCATTTTTTTTTTCAGAAATAAGAAAACGCTACTTCACTTATTTAAGAATTATTATACGAGTTTTGTTTTTTCACAGCATTTAGAATATGTATTCCGACAAAATATATCTCTTGCTCAAGCAATCGATACCACGGATTAAAAAAAACTGAAAAAATAAAACATATTTAAAGACATTTCATTATCAAAAGTTTTGGGCCCAGAACGTAAGATGAGCCACAGGCCGAGGATTGGATCCCCGACATCACCAAATGTTTTGTGTGTTACAAGTTTTTGTTTTGTTTGGGTTTATAAAATCGTGAAGCCTCATGTGTTTATTCATTCACACAAACACAGACACACACACCTA